CTCCATCGGGGCCTGCGCGATCCCCGCGGGGGTGGGCGAGGCGCGGAGCGGAGCGGGAAGAAGCCTCTGACCCTTCCGGGGCTGCTGGCCCGGCCGAGGTTTAGCCGAGGCCTCGGCCCGCTGCGGGAGCTGGGACCCGCTACTGCTTTTCCTTCGCTCCTTTTGCGAGCGACTCGTGCGAAAGAGAGACGCCTTGTCTTACGGGATGCTAGAACAGCTGCTGCTGCCTCGAGGCCCCCCGGCTGCTGGCAGAGCCTGTAAGGCCCTCGCCTTGACGCTTCGTTAACGCAAAACGATGAACGCCGAAGCCGGCTTCCAGCCGGGGCTGCGCTCGCTTTGGCAAACAACGCTGCGAGCGGTGCTCGGAGCCCGCTGGTGTGTTCTGCCTAAAAAAAAATATATTCGCTGTGAAACTTAAACTGACATGTAACACGCTACGTTACAAATTCTAAACTTGCCCCAGATTTGTCCGCAGAACCGTTAGGATTTGTAGGCTGCCAGCCTGCTTAGATTATTTTGCATCAAAACCATGCAGAAGTTGTAGTTTTGTATGGTTTTGACACGTGCTCTGTTTCTAGTTTGGTTTCGGCTCTCGGTGAAATGCGGGGTTATGACTCCTTCAGTCAAAATGAAAGCGATTCTGATATTCCCTCGTGTGTAAATCCAGACTGCTGAGTTTCCCGTAGCTCAGTTTGCCGTTTCTTTATGAAAAACTGATTAGCGCTCTCCAGTGTGTGTTCTGGGGAGGCTGCTGCTTTCTGATCATTGACGCGGGGTTATGAATACACCCTGTCCCGACCCCAGTGCTGTCTGGTTCTGCGTGCACCGTAAAGAGGCTCCTTCACGCTAGGCACCCAGGAGAGTTCGAGGAGCAGTGCATTGGGACAGAAGATGCAAAACTCAAACTGGAGGGAGATGAATGTAGTGGATGGTGGAGCTGGTGATGCTACAGGAGATGGGAGAGATCTGTAGTAGGGAAAACTAGCTCAGACACCTCGTGGTATGAGGCCAGGAGGGTGGAGCAGAGTCAGCAATTGTGTCAGGGAGAGAAAGGGTGAGATAACAAGTCATCGGGTCTGGAGGATGGTGGAGTATTAGATGGGAAGGGCTGATGGGGGAAATAGGAAGGGACAAGGTGATGGCTGGGGGGCTCAGACTTGGTGAGGGGGTGATGAGACAGAGGACAGCAAGTCAAGTGAACAGGGCTGCCTGCTGAGTGGGAGACTTGACTGAGGACTCCACCAGCGGGATGAGGTGAGGGAAAGGAAGCATCGAATTCAAGGGTCAGGTGAGTTACAGTGGGGAATTAACTGAACCCTACAGACTGCAGGCAGGAAGAGGGGAAGATATGAAACTGAAATGGCAGGCTGGTGAGTAGATGTGTGTTGACAGCAAATAGAGGGAGAATTGGATTCAGCCCTCATCCAAAGAGGAGACAGAAATGAGAATGCCTGGAAATGGCAGACGGAGGGAGGGAGGAAGCCCAGATGTGCTCTCATGGTCTAGAGTGGGGAAACTGTTTTGAGAGGTATCCTCAGAAGAAGGATTTTGGGTATCAGAGGCTGGAAGGAGCAGGGTAGGAAGGTGGCTCTAATTGTAATCATTGAAGGGGTCCCAGAGAAGAAAAGTTCACCTGCTCATTACACAACTGCTGTTTGATTGCAATCAGATAGCAGTGATTTCAGCTGTTTGTATTGGTTGTGCAAGAGCCAAGTGACCCTACGCCAGAAACCTGGCCTAGATTTGAGATAGGTCAAATTCCATTTCTGACCGTCGCTTCCAGTAGTGTTGGGACTCCAGCTCTGATCCCAGCGTGGAGGAGATGCCACGCAGCCTACAACCGATGAGCTTGTGGAGGGGTAACTGGCATCTCTTTAAGAGAGAGATTGCAAACAGGCAGATTCCTAACTGCTGCCAGAAGTCTGTCAAAGGCTGCAAAGCCATGACATGGCTGTAAGGGTGGGATGCTCTCAAGGGAAGGTAGGTTGCCTTTTGATCTCCTTTGTGAGCCTGGGTTTAAAAACAGCAGAAAACAATTTTAAGCCTCTGTGCCAAATAACCTGTTAGGCCTCTTTTCTGAGGATGGAACCATTTACTTTGACAGATGTTTTCCCCCCCCCACCCCCCCCCCCCCCAAGCAGCAGCTATTCTGCACACACCGAGTCTCAGGCTTACTGAGGAAACAGTTGATGCCGTTGTGACAGTTTGACATTCCTCAGTCGTGGGATGTTTTTCCCCCTTCTTTCATTTCATGCTTTTAAACATAACCCTTTTGTTCCTGCTGTGTTAAGAAACAAATCCTCTGGGGGGACTGCTTGCTAAAATGTGAAGGCAACTGGTCACTCCTTGACGATTGCAGCTGCGTGAGTTGAAAAGTCCTGAGTGGAAGAGGAGGGATGGGAGAGTGAAGGACCCTCCTGGACTAGCAGAGAAAAGTATGATATGGGCTCTGTCGTGATGCTGAGATTAGGGACAGAACTGTGAAGTGTGGTTTGGGGGCCTGTCACCTCCTTCCTCCCTGCTGCTCCAGTCCTCTTGAGAGGCTCTATTTTATTGCTGGATGCAGGAGATGCTTTCCCTCTGGATCTTTGTCTTTGGAAGGAGGACATGCAGAGCAAGGCAAGTGTGAGGTGTCCTGCTTTATCCTCTCCTTTCTCCCCCACCCCTGTTTGATTATAACAGCTCTCCTCTTCTATTTTTCGAAGGGGGTTTCCAGAAGCAGCTAGGGCCTGGGAAGTCCCTGGCAAAGTGACTGTTGTCTAAGAAGCAGGTTAGAGATGGGAAGGTGTGGAAGGATCTGTGGAGCCCAGTGGTCAAAACCACCTGCTGCTTGCAGGAATGGGAAGAAAGGGGAAGACAGGTCCGAGCTGAAAACATGCAGGGAGGCTTACTATTTGGATTAGGGCTATGCCAGTGGGGTTCTCCTAGCTGAGCGTTAAGGTAAATGGAGACGTGCATATTTGGTGCGTTTCTATTTTTAATGGTAACTAAGCACAGTGCAGTTGCAAATTAGGTGATGCTGAAGTTCTCATGACTGGCAGCACTCTGGGATGTTATTGGATCTAGGGCCTCTTTCTCCACTGAGGTCTTCATTTGCCCACATTCACTTGGTGAAGTGAGAAGTGATAAAACGCTTCCAGAGCAGGAGAGGAGTGTGAAGTGAAACAGAATACAGCCTGGACTTTGGGGCAGACAGTGTTTATGTAGGTCCTACCCTGTGCACTGCTGACCAGACCTCTCGCTCTGCTTCTGTAGGGGCATTTTTCTACAGTACTGGTACGCCATCTAAAGAGAACTGTCCAGGAGACTTGCACTGGTAGGACCTGTTGCTCAGTGGCTAATTGCAATCTCTGATATAGTAATTTGCGGGAAAGGGAAGCTTGGGGAAATGCAGTTTTGGGTTCTGAAAGCTTTCCATCCTGATACTGAAGCGTATGTTTGTCCTTTATGGCAGTGATTGCCATTTTGTAAGTACAGAAACACTGCGTCTTTTTGGAAGTGCTGTTACAGGTAAATAGGTTGTTGCTAGTCCCAGAGTTCTTAACAACAACTGTACGGTATTTGATCCCTTTGCCCTCCTTCTAAATCATTTTTGAGAAGTGCCCTTTCTGGATAATTAGTTGAACTTCTACATCTGGAATCTGATGGCAGTAATTAGATACCACCCTTCCCAATTTCAGCCATGCCTCGTGGAGTGCTTTGAAATAAACACTATTATGTAAATCCAGTTTATCTTCCTTCTCCCTTTGTATTGTTTAATGGTAGTATTTTCTTTCCCCAGAGCTAGAGCTACGGGAGGTTCAGGCTGCTACTTCCGAATTCTGAAATCTAAAGCCTTCTCGTGGGAGTTCGACTTCCTGTAGGTTCCTGACTCTCGGCTTGTGTCCGTCCTTCACTTTTCCTTTGCCATCTCCCCTGCTTTGCCCTTTCTCTTCCCTCAAGTGTTTTAAAAGGCTCACAGTAGCTTTCAGATTGCCTAGTCGGGGTTATAGTGTATCTTCTGACATTTTCTTTCTCCCCTGAAAGGTTTTTATTTCAGCTCGGTGCTTGTTAGCAAGTCCGCACAACAAAGGCAGTATGTTAGCACTGTGTCCTCCTAGCACGCAACATGCCCCCCGTTTCACTCTGCAAGAAAGAGCTGTGCAAGCCAGACAGAAGTGGATTTGGTACTGAACAAAGCACTTTCGCTGCAGGAAGGTAAATTAATAGCAAGTGCTGATAGTTTCAGGGAAATGATAACAAGAGCCAAGAAGAAGAGGATCTGTCTCCCAGTCTGCCACTTGCCTGGAGCTGGTGTGGACTAGAGGGAGTTTTCCAGAGCGTCCTGTAAGTTGGGCCGCCACAGCCTGGCTTCTGTGGTGGAACTTCCTAGCAGTGCTGCAGCCCAGCCTTCTGTATTTGCTTTCAGGCTATTTCAAACAAAGAGACGATGGGGAGATAAGCACTTGGAAAAAAAAAAAACCCAATCGCATCCAGTCGCATCCAGCTTTGCTGTTAGTGACAATAGAAAAAGCAACAAAAAAAGTTATGAAGGGACTGTACTTTGTGTTTATTGATGTCGATAAGCTTTTGTGGTGAAAGGGGGGTGCTGTTGCTTTTACGCTGCAGAACTTTGCAGGGGAGTTCATCAGCAGAAAACATTTTTCATTCACTTCTCTAATAATAATTAAAAGACCTTGAGCGTTCTCCCCCTTCTCCTTTTTAGTAATAAAAACTCAATTTTGGGCCTACCTTAGCTTGCCAGCATCCAGCCTAGGCCTTTTTTGAATGCCTTGTTGGGTCAAAGGTGCGCTTGATATATGGCTCCAGGCAGACTTTGTTTTGTACGTGCAAAATGTAGTTCGGTTTTCATGCTGAGCTCTGTGCTCTTGGTTCATTTCTTCTTGTGGTTTAGGCTTTAAGTAAAAGTTAAGACTTTTTAAAATGGGGGGTAGGAGAGGGGAGCCATATGACCGGAAAGTTTTGGATTTCACATCTTTAAATCTTTACAGAGCATGAAGAATGGGATTCTCTCATTCTCTTACCATGACAGCCTGAGCCTGAGCTGGGGGAAAGGAACTGAGGTGACAGGGCAATGTGGATAGACCAAATCATTTCAGATGAGCGATTCTTGTGTTGCACGCTCCAGTTGTGTTTATTGGTAGCATGTGGGTTTGAACAAGGAACGCGTTCAGTTTGGGGGGAGAAAGGAGGCTGCGAGGGGAAGGAGAAGGTGGAGGGGGAAGTTAATGGAAAAGTACAGTAACGCACCTTCTGAGGTGAGAATAAGTAGTGAAGGTCTATTAGCAGTTGATGACAATTTACATGTATTACTTATGTAAAGCTCAGCTCGCATCAGGTAGAGGAGCGTGTTCCCATGTGAGCTGTCAAAGGTTCTGTCTGCCTCTTGAGTGGGAGGGAGCATGGGAGTCGCTAAAGCTGAATTCTTCAATCTGCAAAGGAGTGAATCGTCTGAAGAATGGCAAAGTGCTTCAGGTGGAAACAGAGGAGATGAGATGGGATGAAGATGCCCAAATCCAAGAAGTTTTGGTTAAAAAAGTCCTGGCAATGAGCGGCCACAGGGGTGATGGGCAAAAATGGCAGGTTTTAATGGCAGGTTTTAATGCCAGGAGTGGAGACTTTCTGAGATATGTCCAGGTGTGCTGGGAGTCTCCAGGTGATGTTTCTGGATTGCGAGCCCGCAAGGGTAGGCTCACCCCTGTCCTCACACAGTTTCCGTCAGTGATGTAGGAAAGGATAGCTATGGGGATAGCTATCAATTTCTGCACCCTCATTGGAAAAAACATTTTCTGAACTGCTGAAAAAGCTCCCTTCTCAGTGCCTCTTATGCTCTGTTTTCATAAGATGATACCAGAAAGCGAGAGCCAGCACAGTCAGAAGGGTCTGGCTTGTTAAAGTGAAAGGTAGGAGTTGGTGTTAGCAACTGGATCAGACCCTCTATTGACTTGCCCCATATCCTGCATGTCCTTGCTGGTGGGGCATCTGCCATAGTTGCTCTGCAGCACGGTACTTGTGCTGAGCTCAAGGTTAGCCAGGTGCCAGTGCAGGTAAGCTGCCTAGCGCATAGGAATTTTGTTCTGCAAGTGCTTACGCTGTGCTTGAAGGAAAAATAAATCTTGGACTGACAAGAGATGCTGATGAATGCATTGCCCGAGGCTTGCAAATTTAGGAGCTGGGTTTGCTGAGGAGAGAGAAAGCCTCTCCTGAGTGGGGTGTGCAGTCCTGCAGCTCCATTCATCTTGGAGGCACTGCCCTCTTGCCTTCATCGCTGTTAATGCGAGGATTCTGGCAGCTAGTTTGGACTCTTTTTTTTTTTTCCTTTTTTTTTTCCTTCCCTTCTAGCCTCTCTTTGGATAAGATTCTTCTCTCTTTGCCTGTGGAGATGAGAATACCCTTGGGCTCATGTGAACCTTGCAAACGCCCGTGAGCGCAGCTTTCCGAGGGTTTGAAGAGGCTGAGATGGAGCAAAGTGCTATCGCTAGAGAAGGTGCTGTGCCCGCAAGCCTGGGGCCTCCTTGCTGTAAGGCCTGGTTGAACTGGAGCGTGCTGGGGAGCTGGGTCCTCCCCAGCATCGACTCGATCGTTAACCAGTGAATTCTGGTTGATGCAACAAAATTGCTCTGTCATTGTATTGCCAGGAAGAAGCTAGAGGACAAATAAGAGAAGCTGTTAACCTTGCCCTGCACCCCAGCAGTGCAATGAGTATGCTAGCAAGTGCTCGAGATGGAGGCAATCTCATCTGACCATGTTTACCTGAAGGGAGTGGGAAGATGGAAAGTGGAAAATCCCCAAATACAAGGCCAAAGGAGTAGAAGTTTCCAAACAGGGGTTAAGGGAAGAGGAACGAAAGCACGGGCTTTGGGGGGTAAAAGGGACTTTTCTTTCTGACTAAGCCAAGATCAAAGGGAAGATCCCTGGAGGAGGGAGCTGGATCTCTCTCTTAGACAATTTAAGGATACTGTTTCTAGAGGGGGGTCTGGAGAGAGAAAAGAGACAAAGCTGACTAACTTTTTGCCCTGGATCCGTGCATCACCTGTGTCGCTGAAATCCTTTGCAGGACCTGTCTTCTAGCTTCAACTATTGCCTGTATCTGTGTGGGCAAACAGAACCGCTGCCTGTAGGGCAGAGCCTCTGGAAGGGATGCACTTAAAGTGACATCTTGGGAGACAAGGTCTGAATGATTGGGCGGAGGGGTTTCCGAAAACCGGGGTGCTGCCTATGGGACTCGCGCTGCAAGGGTGCCCCAGAAGCTCCCGCGGCAGTGCCTGGGTTTTGCTACAGCAGGGAGAGCTGGACGCCCGCCTGGACGTGTCCAGGAGAGGGAGCTGGCTCAGGGCTGGCTCAGCACGGCTCGGAAACGCCGGCCGCGTGCCGAGCAATAAGCAGCGCTCCTCCGACGTGGGTCCCGATGGCTTGGGAGGGCAGATGTTCCCTGAAACATAGGTGGAATGTTAAGAGTCTGTTTTGGATTAGATGAGTTTTTCATCAAATTAGGGCTGTTGCTGACGGTACTTAGCTGTGAAATCGTTACATGTGAAATAGCAGGAATTCAGCATCTTAAGAAAAGTCTGTGTTCTGAGAGAAGACCACTCTGGAGCCCAAACTGAATGATCTTGAGATGCGCAGTTCATGCCGACTTATAATGTAGTCTTTGCTGCTTTTAAACTTAAAAAGGCTGTACAGTATTTTTACATACAGTGTGTACTTTTCTTCAATTGCTATAGTTTGTTTTTCCTAATTTACCCTTTCCTTGTTTATCTTGCATACTGTGCAGGGGTCTAATTTACATTTTTAGAAAAAAAAATGCTTAGCCGTTATGGGTTGAGGCAGCAATTTCTGTAGCATTTAGAGGTGAATTTGATTAGCACTTTTGGAAAGCCATGCAGCAAATTACAGTGCTAATCAAGGGAAATCAGGCCATGTAGCTTTAAGGCAGAGTTAGCTTTATTTATTCATTTATTTACAACAAAAAGTTAAGATACTAAGCTGTCCAAAGCTAGAAAATATTATATTTCTGTTGATTTTGTGTGTCAGGTTTTCTGATTGCACAGTTGTACTGAACAGAGTATTGCTGGGAAAAAAATGTATTCTCTAAAATATAAAACACTTAATTTGCTGTCCAAAACCGACTTTTCAGTGTTGTGACCAGTTTTCCTCTTGTCCCTCCCTGTCCATAGTTGAATGAAAAGTTATTGTCTTTATCATTTTGAGTGAAATCCTTCACTGTATATCAAAGACAAAAGGAAAAAGAACCAGCCAGTTAAAACCCAACTTACTGTGTTAGCAGTGTGGTTCGGAATCTGTTGAAATCGATGGGAATTCTCCCAGTGTCCTCAAACATGCATTAGATTGTGTATTTTAGTGTTAGTTTTAAAATGAGAACAAAATACCTGTGCTGTGCAAAGAGATGGCCTAAGCATTAAGTGGATTAACTGAAATCCTTTTGGAGACCTTTGTTTGTTTGGGGAGAATGGGGCATTTATTTATTTATTTAATTTTCCTGAGTTTGCAAACTTTTGCTCATCAGTCTGAACTTCAAAGAAATGGGAATCCAGGCCTGAGCTCGAGATACAGTTGCACACTTGCTTTCAACCAGTGTTACCAATGAAGGATGCCAGCCAGATGAACACCAAAATTCTGGTTTGCTGAATGACAGAATTCAGATACGGAAAGAAGCGGATTTGATCATTAACTAAGGAGGAGTGGAAGGAGACAAACTGGCTTTTTGCGATACTTCTGATATTGCTGCGTGTGACGTGTCTGGTGTTTGGGTAATGTTTGAAACATGTGCAAGTTAATTGCTGGGAGCAAAATGTATGGAGCCTAATCAGGAAATGTTGGCCTTCATCATTTTCTGAGAAATGGAGATTACTGCAGTTACAAATTGCAAATTGGTGACTGGAGGAGATTCCTAAAATATGAGATAATCCCTACAAACTGACCAACTTTCTCTGTAGAACATCAAATTCTAGGTCTATAATCTATAATTAAATTGCTTATATGCTGTTAAAAAAAGCATCTGGCTGTTCCAAGATTGTCCAGTGCAAGAGCGTAGCTACTATAAATGAGAGAGCTGTAGTGACATGTAAAAAGTAGCAATTTAGAGGACAGGAAAATATTAAGTCTTTGTGTTTCCAACCTACCAGGATGTGAGAGGATCCAGAAGGTCAATCTATAACATAACTACTGTCTTGTCCAACTGGAATGTGTAACCGTTAACCATTGCTCTGCCAAAAGACTGAGGGCCTCTTTGGGACCCCTCTTGAATACTGCATAAGAGTTTATGCTGTTTCATTCACAATATTTTGAAATATTAAATGTATTTACTATACATTCTAATACTTGGCATCTGCCCAGACAGCATTATGGCCAAATGGGAATATGTTGTCCTCTAAAGTCGGAGCATAATATTGCAGGTACAGCCGGAGTCTGCCATGGGTTATTTGTGCTGGGAGCAGCAGATACTGTAAATTACTGCCAACAACATTCATGATGGAGCTGTTGTCTGCTTACATTGTGAAGTGTTTTGTGTGGCAGAAATAAGAGGGGTGCAGAAGTGCAGCTGGTGCTCTGCTGCCACAAAGCAGAAGGGAGTTGCCTCTGCTTTTCTGGCTGTTTAAATCGTGCTCCCCAGTCTCTGTGCCTAAACTGACGGCTTCCCTCTTGGTGTCTCTTCAAACACTTTTTGTAGAAAGCAAATTCAATCTGAAAATCTTGAGGAATTAATGTATAGGTTTCCCTCTTGCTCTGCAGTGCAATTAGGCTGTTTTCCTCATCTGCATTAGGAGATGAATAGCGTATGTGACTAACCTAGGGTCCCGCGGGGAGTCTGAGAGAGCTGGACTGACCCTCTTGTTTCTATATCGGGTCAAGCCGCTCCTGTGCAGGGAGCTTTTCCCAGAAGTTTGGTGTTGAGTTTGCCCGCAGCAAGTGACATGTCCCTTACAGCAGTTGAGGAGAAAATTATATCTCAAAACAGCCTCTGTGCCACTTCCTGGTGTGAAGACAGACAGTATTTATAGAATTCCCATGCCTTACATGTCATAGTTGATAGAAACGACTGCCTTGTATTTTCATGGAGATGAGGACATGGGTGAATAAATTCCTTCCCAAGGCATGAATATACTTGTGTAATGCTGGGCTCAAAAGATGTACTGCCTGGATGATTTCTAATACTTTTTTTTCCCCCTTTGTTTTCCTCTAGTTGTGGCCTTCTTGGTGGCTTACCATCAAAACAAGCAGCTGATAGGAGAAAAGGGGCTGCTCCCATGTAAACTGTACCTGCAGAATGTCAAAAGATACTTCAAAGGGAAGATAAGTCTGGATGCACTGAGCTATGCCCCAACGATCATCTGGTTTCTGGACTGGTCAAACATGGACAGCATCTTGGACTACCTCTCTGGGTTCGGCCTGGCAACTTCAGCCTTTGTGTTGGTAACTGGATGTGCTAACATGATCCTCATGGCTGTCCTGTGGATTCTCTACCTCTCGCTCGTCAATGTTGGACAGATCTGGTAGGTTAACAATCTCTCTGCTTTGATTTCCTCTGTTGTTCATTGTATACATTGAATTTCTAGTTCCTTGAGGTTGGTAGTCTGGTAAGCAGTGATGTAGGCCTGTTGGAGAAGGAACGTATTTGGCAAAGGAGCGTTTCAGTTATGGGTTATGGGCATACCCCGCTCTTATCTGAGACACCTGTCCTGATTTGCCTCGTTCTTGGTGCTCAGCTGCATAATGTACTGAGCTGCACGTCATCCCTGTTGTGGAGTATATTCCCTCATGACTCTTGCAAGAGGATTCCCCTAATAATTACCTTTGAGCTGGTTTATTGATTTCCAGTTCTGTCCAGGAGCCAGCCTGAGCACTGGAGATGAGCACATAAAACCTGTAGGAAATGAGAAAGGAGAAATAGTGAGCCTCTGTAAGGTTTGCTCACATCAGGAAAAGGCTGTAGTGCAAATACAGGCTAAAAGAAATCCTTGTCGGCGCCCCAAACGGGAAAGGCTTTAGTTGGGTCTTGCCCCTTTTAAAGCCCCAAATATGCTGATTAGGAGAGGATGAGCCTTTAGGAAATCAGTTTTCATTAGTTCACCTCTTCAGGTATCTGTCCATCGTTCTGCTGGTAGCAGAGATGAAGGCCATGCCAGGAAACAGTACCCACACTGCGGCAGGGGGGACAAGCAGTATTGCTGTGTCACTGCGATGTTCTGCCCCAATGTTCTGGCTCTACAATACATGACAGGACTCCTTCCCTGCAGATGGGTTCAGTGACTTTAATTTTAAGGATCTGCATGTTTTTGAGCAGCCCTGCATCTTGTACTGCCCCATTCTTTCCTACCCTACTCTGATTGGTTTGTAACTGGATGAATGATAACTGCTTCAGGTCTCTGAGAAGCTCTGTTCTCTGAGCTCTTAACTCGGTGGGAACCTGAAACTATGACAGAAAGCCCCAACATTTGAAAAATAACTCAGTCGATCATATTCTGTTGCCTGTTCCCAAGTTATTCTAGAAAAAAGACAAGTGATTTTAGGCCTTTTAGGTTACTGGGCAAGAATTAAAGTATCTTCCTGCTCTCGTTTCCAGAGACTTTGGAGTTCGGGTCATTGTAGCAGCCAAATCTAGATGTATTGCTTGATATCTTTGTTTGCCTTTTTGTAAAATAAAAGCATTATTAAAGCTGCAAGATTTTGCAGCTGGAAGCTGGACCTGTATTGGCCTCCGGTTTGATCTTGCTTGCTCCTGAAGGAGTGCAATAATCAAGAAATTACCGTGATAGGCTTACTACTTTAGTGCTCATAAGGCAATCTGGAGTTCTCAATATACTGGTGCCATGGTTATAGCAGTATTACCATGTCATCACTGTTTTGGTGGAAAAAGTGACCAGAATGTGTTCTTCATGCCTTGCTGGGCGGTTGTGCTTTCTGTGCTTGCCCTCTGCTCCCAGCTGCTTTTCCTGGTAAAAAGCACGCTGAAAGCAGAGGTGTGACCTCTTCTCTGCAGGTGTTGCAGGGGTAACGTTCCTGCAGAAATCTTGAGCTTGTGCCAAAATAAATCCAATTGTGCCTATTTAACTCTCTCTGAGTGGCTGCTTTGTTATCTTCCAAGTCTTTGAGGGAGAGGCAAAGGAAGGAGGGATAGAGAAGGGAACCTTTTTCTTCTGATTCATTGAACTGCCACCAGCATTCAGCAGACCATGTCCAAATGTCTCTTCCTTAGCAGCTCACGGCCAAGCTTCAGGTCTCTTTGCAGCTCTGAAGACAATGGGTCTGCCAACAGTAATGCAAGCAGAGCCCAGGGCTTGCATTTGGTGGATGCTGTGTTTGAAAGGAATTGTCTCTTGTTTTTTGAGATAAGGCCATTTCGCCCCCTTCGCTGCTTCAGGTTTGGAGTTTAAAAGCTATGTTGCTGCAAGTGGGTTGCTCATGGCATGCAGTAGTAGCCTGCCAAGAGAATGGGACAGGTTCTTCTGGGGGAGGAAAGGGTGAGAGAAAAAAGGTGGGAGGATAAGAGGCGTTGCCTCAATTCCATCTCTTAGTTGTGGCATCAAATGTATTAAACAGGAAATTAAGTTCTTCATGTAAAGGGGCGGGGGGAGAGAATCAAAGCAACCCAGCACTACAGTTCATTCAGCCGTGGTTGTATTTTTCATTAGATCCTCTGAAATGGGTCACTGGGTGGTCAAAACCATATTATTATTGTGCATACACTGTGACATTCAATTCCATGGAGACATGGATGCTGGGTGCCTAGGTGCTTACGGTGCAAGTAGAAGGCAGGAGGGAGAAAAAGGGGAATTAACTAATTTCTCACCATCCTCCAAAGACTTCTCGTGGCACTAGATATGGGCTGAGAGTACCTGAAATCTCACGAGTCTTGCTGCCGATCACGGATGGGTGGGTGACAGTGTTGGCCTTAAAACTCCCTTTCCACGCTGATTTGTAGATGGAGATTGTCTTAAGGTGCCTCAGGGAGGTTGCACGCTCATACTGGCATCTCCCCACATATCTAGGGCAGCCGATGGTCCGTCTTAATGTTCCTCTGCTGTTTCTCTGCTGTTCCTCTGTTTCTTTAGAAAAAGTTATCTGTTGTAGGCCAAGGAGGAACAATTTATTCCTTTATCGCCTTTTTCTTCTATTTTAATTTTAAATGTTTCTATTTGTTTTGGGCTGGAGTTTCCAAATAGCAGGCAATGCTGAAGGAGTGAGTCTTTCAACTGCTGTCCAGCTGGCTTGGGCTCAGAGTCAGAGGAAGCTTCAGAAGAGTGAAGTGTCTCTTTTGAAAGGCAGGACACTGACTGCTGCTCCCGATTCTGCTGACTGCCACCCCTTTGAGCCACAGCAGCTGGGGAAAACGCTCTGTGCTGGGGGAGCGCTGAGCCTTGCCGTGATAGCACCGCAAGGAAAGAGTTAAAGGTCTTCGAGGGTATTACAACCCCTTAATTTGGTAAAAATGAAACATGATTTAAAATCCAGAAGGGAAAAGATGCCAGACTGGATGGCAAAGGAAGCTAGTTAATGACTGTGGGAAATGGGAGGTTGGGGGTGAGCGAGGCGACTGCTGTCTGAGCACTGCGGGGCAGCATCTTTGGAGGAAATGGCAGGTCTCAGCCTAATTACTAGAGGATGGAGCTTTTGGGCAGCGCCTGGTCCTTATAAGGTGGTTGGATTTTGAAAGCTTGTATGTCTCTGGGGTTTTGCAGGGAAGAAGGCAGCTCCTGGAGCCAGCTGATGTGAGCCCTTTGTGACAGATCTGTCAGGATGAGGATTACTGTAAGGACCTTTGGAAACTTAAAATCCTGAAAACTGAGGCCAGGATGTTATCCTGGACCTAAATCCTCAAATTTGCCAGTTTGCTATCAGCTCTGCCAAAGCGCAGGTAGATTGTCTGGGATAAGATGTACTGTGGTTGAAGTAGGCTAGCTTTTGGAGAGCAGCGTGGTAACTTTGGTACCTGTGAAATGTGAGGCCAAGACTGCCTTTGCCAAGTTTAAAAGTGGAATGCACAGGAAAGCATCTGCAATTCTGGGCACTTTGTTCCCAAAGCATCTGTGATATTCAGGTTCTTTTCAGATAAGATCTAGACATGTTCCCTGTTGTCACAGGGCATATGTATAATGGTGCCGTGCTCACATCACAAGCTGAGCATGTCTGCATCTTAAAATCCTTCCCCCCCCCCCGCCATCCTGAACTTTTCCTTTTTAAATAGGAGGAGGCTGTCAAAAAGCCAAAACACTGCCAGTGCACAAAGAATATTTAAAGCCTGACCCATAGGCTCGGTAAAGAGCCTAATCTTTATAGTTAATTTTAGCCTTGATTTTTTTTTTTTCCTTTTCATTTTTGCAAAGTATCTCTAATTTTAGTAAAATAATAGTAAAAAGCCATCCCAATTTGACTATAATGGAAGCTATTTCAGGAAGCTAGAGATCCTTGAAAAGATTTTGTGGGAATTCCTTATCCTTCAGTGTCCCTTTTTGTATACCACAAGTCCTACTTGTCTAGATTCTGTCATTGGAAGATGATGCTGCTCCTCAGGTCAAATATGAATGTTCCCGCCTTTCTCCCTGTTTCTTCCCTCCTGAATGTTAATATTGTATTAGATTTGAACAAGAATGTGAAAAGTTGCCCCTTTTGCTTAAAAGCAAAAATACTTTCTGAGCTTGTTGCAGGTGACCTCATTAAACCTCTATTTGTGGTTTATTCCCTGCCATTTCTGCTGGGGCATATGTATGCGGAGATGGACCATCAGCAGCAAAGGTCCTTTGTCAGGACAAATTCTCTGTGAGAGGCATTCGAGCAAAAGTTAAATCTCTCTCTCTCTCTCTCTCTCTCTCTCTCTCTCTCTCTCTTTTTTTTTTTTAAACCATCAGAATTATTTCACTTCCAAAGTGAATTTATAATTCTGGAATAAAATCACTTTTATCCCAGAGTAAGGTGCCCCCTGAGAGCTATTACATTTTCTTATATAAACAAACTTTTAAACTACTCTTCCACTGATCTCCTGCTTCTTCTTCTGTTGTTTCCCCATTGAACCCCCTCGACATTTTCAAATATAATCTGAAAACCCTCTCCTTTCTCTTAGCTATTGTGCTGCTTCGTTTTACAAAGTATATTGTCCACTGCTGGAGAGCATTCACGGGTACAATTTGCAACACTTAATAAAAAAGCTAGAATTGTGGTTTTTAAAATCCCATTGCCTTTTTCTTTTGTGATTAAGATTCTGGTGTGGTTAGAAGAACTCAAGGGAATAGGTTAAACAAGCCAATAAATAAAATGTTATAGTATGAGGTGGTTACCACATTCTTTTTGGTGTGTTCTTCCCTGTGGAAAATGTTGGTGGAGCTACTGCTCACCGATATTTAGGATAAATTAGGACTAAGCAGCACACCTTTGTTTCTACATGGAAAACCGAGCTGTGCTTCACTACTGTACCCCCCCTGAGGTTGTTGGTAAATACCTTTCGAATTGTGCTCACTTGCCCTTTGAAGCCAGGGTGCCCAGGTGGTTTCCAAAAAGT